TACCTTTGCCTGGTGGTCTGGTGTCCTCTGCGTCTTTGTAGTGTGGGACCAGGTGGCTGCCTGTCTGCAGCGGGGTGATTCGGTGTCTTCCGCGTGACTCAGGACCTCGGTAGGGCATGCACAGACCTTCCTGTGTGCAGCGGGCTGATTCGGCGTATTCCACGGACTGGGGACCTCGGTAGGGCGTGGGCAGACCTGCCTGTCTGCAGTGGACTAATTCAGCATGTTCTGTGGGACTCAGTACCTAGATAGGGCATGGGCAGACCTGCCTGTCTGCAGTGGGGTGATTCGGTGTCTTCCGCGGACTGGGGACCTCAGTAGGGTGTGGGCAGACCTGCCTGTCTGCAGCGGGCTCCACACTTTCAATATAATTTTTATTCTTCAGGATTTCTGTTTAGAACCTTTTTTTATGGACTCTAGTTCTTTGCTTATCTGGTCATTCATGTTTTGTATCATTTTGTTTACCTCAGCTAGCACTTTATTAATGTGTACTCTTCCTTTTAGGATTTACAGATTTGGAGTTGAGCAAGTCTGTTTTCAATTAGCCTTTCAACCATTCAGCCTGTGGGTTTGTGAGGTGTGCCCCCATTCCAGAGGCCCCTCAACTGTGGCAACTATCTACACCAAAACATGTCCTTGCTCATGTTGGTGGATAGGGAAGGCAATCAGACCTCAAATCTGTGCTGGCTGTAGGAAGCAGCGAAGGGTTCAAGTACTTAATGCCACCACACACTTTCAGACCCAGCTGTTTCTGAGCACAACTCAAGCTGGGCCTGACTTCTCACCACTCTGGGTGGGGTGTGTCCTTCCTGGCCTGAGTTTAAATTTCTTCGGGGATCTCTTTCTAGCCTGCTGCCTGTCTGCAGCTATCCCCATGGCTCTCTCTCACCAAGTCACTGTGGGAGGGTAACACTGGGAGCCCTGAAGTGGAGTTGTTTTTTAGTTGTTCTGAGTCTGGGATTTAAGTAATCAGCCCCTTCTCCAAAAGGCACCTGAGCAACCACTCTGGTGATACAGTGGGTGTTTGAGCTTTGTGGAAGGAGTCCCCTTGGAGAATACCCTATGCTGTTTTTGCAGTTTACAAACTGTGGGCTCTGCTGCTCTTTGTCCCTGGATCTCCCGGCCCTGGGTACTTAGCTTGCTTCTGGGGAGCCTGATTCCCCTCTTCAAAAACGTTGAGAGCCAAGAAGAGTCCCATGAGGGACTGGATTGCATAAGACAATAAATTTTTAAAAAAAGAAACACATTTGAAATACAAGACAAATAGATTCTGGATTTTTATTGTTTTAATTTATTCATCATATTAAAAAATGAATATTGTTGCTTTTAGTAAATTACAAATTGTCTGAATTCTTAATTAATGCTTCAGAGACCTGAGAAAGAGTGAAAATACTTTGGTACTGTTTGATTTCTACAGAAAAAGGTGGTGGCACTGCCTAAACAGGAGGCTGTTCAAGAGGAGGACAAGATAATACATGAGGATAATGAGTGGGGTAGGAATTCTCTTATAAATTGAAGTGGTTGGGAAATGTACGATTTTGCAAATTTTGAATAATTATTGCTTATGAAGTTTCTTCAAAACTGTTATAGGATCAAATTTATTTCTACAGGTATTGAGCTGGTATCTGAGGTTTCAGAAGAAGAGCTGAAAAATTCTTCAGGTCCAGTTCCTGAGTTACCTGAAGGAATTACAGTGGCATATACAATTCCAAAAAAGGTACTTCTAAAATCTAATTACTCATAAGTAAACATCAGATAAGAGAAAATGTGTATTTATCTTTTCAATCTATTTTGTAATGCCAGGAAGTGTTTTCTGTTTTAGATACTGTACACTGTACATTAAGATAAGAGAGGTATTCAGTGTTCATATGGAGGTGCAAAGAGCTCATTTTAAATTCTTTGAAAACATAGAAATAAAATGCTTTTGTTTACTCATTAATGGATCAATAGTTCTTGGTTAAATGAAAACATTGTTTCTATATATAGTTTTGTCTACAATACCATTTTAGTAAAGAATCTACATGACCTTCTAAAAAAGAGACATACAAATGGCCAATAGGTATATTAAAAAAATGTTCAACATTTCTTATCAGGGAAATGCAAATCAAAACTGAGTGAGGTATCACCTCACTTCATGTAGAATGGCTGTTATAAAAAAGACAAAAGATTAACAAGTCCTGGTGAGGATGTGCGAGAAAGGGAACTCTTACATTCTGTTAGTGGAGATGTAAATTAGTACAGCTATTATCCAAATAGTATTGAAATTCCTCAAACAATTAAACTATACACGCGCGCACACACACACACACATATTGCCCTGGAGTCCCACTACAGGGTATATATTCCAAGGAAATGAAATTAGTATGCTGAAGAGACATCTGCATTCTCAGGTTTATTACAGCACTATTCACAATAGCCAAGAAAGGGAATCCATCTAACTCATCTTTTGGCTAAATTGGATAAATAATATGTGTGTGGCATATATACACAATGGAATATTATTCAGCCATAAAAGGATGAAATCCTGTCATTTGTGAAAACACAGATGGAATTGAAGGTTATCGTGAAACAAGCCAGGCACACAAAGACAGCATCTCACTCATATGTAGAATCTACAAAACTTGATGGTTACCAGAGCTGGGGAGAGTAAATGGAAGAATAAGGAAAGGTTGGTCAACAGCTACTAAGCTAGAGTTAGACAGGAGAAATAAGTTTGACTGTTCTATTTCACAGTAGGGTGACTATAGGTAATACTAATGTATTGTACTGTGTACTGTATTACAAAAAGCTAAAAGATTTTGAATGTTTTCATCAAAGAAATGGTAACTGTTTCAGGAGATAGATATGCTAACCCTGATGTGAAAATTATACAATGTGTATGTGTATCAAAGCATCACATAGTGCCCTATAAATATGTATAGTTTTATGGAATTAAAAACATACTTCAGTAGAGATGTCAAGAATATTACAGTTACTTCCTGATAAATCAAATGCTGGTGGGGAAATTCAAGGATTGTTTCTCCTAAAAACTACAAGGCATATTTATTAGACAATTTACTTTATATTTATATTTCTAACCATAAAGAATTTTATATGGCTGTCTTCTCATTGTGTTTCCCTCATATGCTGACAGCAAGAAGACTCTGTACCTCAAGTTACAGTGGAAGATTCTGGTGAAAGCTTGGAAGACCTCATGGCCAAGATGAAGAATATGTAGATAATGGATTGGCATATATTTTATTTTCTTGTGTTTAATCCCATTATTGAACTTTTAAAAAGTTCAAAACTAATAAAATTTAGGGCAACATTACTTGATGTATATGTTTTGATTGAATTGTTATACTATGCTTTAGGAAAATAGTATAGGTATTGTTTATTCCGCCTGTCCCACAACTATACTCTCCTAAAACACATGACCTCAAAAGACTTGAAGGCAGTTGTAAATCTTAATGAAAACATAGTCATCGAAGCCCAGTGTGGTGGCACATGCCTATTTTCCCAGCCACCCAGCAGGCTGAGGCAGGAGGTTAAAAGTTCTAACTTAGACAGGGCACCCTAGTGACTTAGATATCAAGAAGAGGAATAACTGGGTCAAATGGGACCTCTAATCCTAGTTTTTTGAGGAATCTCCACACTGATTTCCACAATGGTTACACTAGTCTACACTCCCACCAACAATGGAGAAGTGTTCCTTTTTCCCCACAACCCCACCAGCATGTTATTGATTTCTTAATAGCCATTCCTTCTGGAGTGAGATGGAATCTCAATGTTGTTTTAATTTGCATCTCTCGAATGACCAGCGATACAGATTTTTTCATATATTTATTTGTTGTTTCTACTACTTCATCTGAGAAGTGTCTATTCATTTCAGATGCCCATTTTTGGATTGGGCCTTTCAATTTTGGGGGGGTTTGATTTTTTTCAAGCTCTTTATACTAGATAGTAGTCTTTGAGGATTTTTTGGGTTGTCTCTTCACTCTGTTGGTTTCTCTTACTGTATAAAAACTTTTTAATAAGATAAGATCCCAGTTGATTCTTTGTGATAGTTCCTGTGCAGTTGGGGTTTTGTTCATAAAGTCTTTGCCTACACCAGTGTCTTCAAGAGTTCTATCTAATCTATCTTCCAGCAAATTTAGTGTTTCTGTTTTAATGTTTAGATCTCTGATCCATTTTGATTTTAGTTTAGTGCATGGTGGAAGATATGGGTCAATTTTTTAATCTTCAGCAGGTGAAAGCCCAGTTTTTCCAGCACCATTTATTAAAGAGGTTGTCGTTCTTCCAGTGAAGGTGTTTGACTCTCTGTCAAAGATAAGGGGCTGAGTATGTCTGGAGTTGTTTATGCATCTTTTAATCTGTTCCATTGATCCTTGGGTCTTTTTTTTTTGCCAGTACCATGCTGGGGTTTTTTTTTGGGGGGGGGGTTGTTTTGTTTTAATCACAGTAGCTTTGTAGTATAATTTCAAGCCAGGGATTGTGATTCCGCCTTGCTTTTGTTGCCTAGAATTACCTTTGCTATTCTAGGTCTCTTCTAGTTCCAAATGAATTTTAGGATTGATTCTGTCAGCTATACTGTTGGAAATTTGATTGGGATTGCACTATATCTGTATAACAATTTTGGATGTATGGCCATTTTCACTATATTGGTTCTTCCTACCCAAGAACAAGGGATATTTATTTTGATATCCTCCTCAATCTCTTTTTTCAGAGTACTGTAGTTTTTCAATATAGAGATCTTTTACTTCCTTCGTTAAATTGATTCTTAGGTATTTCATTTTTTTGGATGCTATTGTGAAAGGTGTTGTTTTCCTAATTTGCCTTATTAAGTCTTTTACCATTTTTTAAAATATAGTATATTTAGCCAGGCACAAGGTCACATTCCTGTACTCTCAGTAACTCAGGAGTTTGCAGCTGGAGAATCACAAGTTTGAGGCCAGGGCTGGGGATTTAGCTCAGTGGTTCCAGCACCTGCCTCACAAGTGCAAGGTCCCAAGTTTGATCCCCAGTACCAAAAAAAAAAAACCAACAAAAAAAACCCCAACAAGTTTGAGGCCAGCCTAGACAACGTAACGCATCCCTGTCTTCAAAAAAATAGGCCTAGGGATATAGCTCAGGGTTTCAACACTTGCCTAAGCTACCCTAGGCCCTGAGTTTAAATATGAATATATATATATATGTAATTGAATTGTAGAATATCTTTTTCTAGTTATTAGAAATGTTTCTAGTTACTAGGAATGTTTTGAATTTTAAAAATGAAATGCAAGCCAAGTATAGTGGCACATGCCTGTAATCACAGTACTCAGGGGCTGAGGCAGGAGGACTGCTGTTGAGTTGATAATTCTCCTTTGGAAACTGATACATTTGGTAAAGCTTTATTTACAATTAAATTTTCTTAATACAGTATACAGAACTGTCAATCTGTTAGAGATTTTATTTGCTCTAAACTGGCACTGCATCCCTGCTGGTATCTTACATATGCTGCACCCAATTTTACCTAATTTAATCTCGCTTTCTAATATCTTTCATTTAAAACCAGGATTATTTTACCAGACAAAAATATAGAGACAGGTACTGTCACAACCTTGAGTGTTCTGTTGACAGTCTGCATATCAGAAAAACTTGTATAAATAGATAGCTGATTATGAGAAATCGATCATCAACGAATTGTGCATTACTAAATAAACTTGTGGAGTTTGGCCAGATTTTTAAATACTATTGATTCTAATAGGAAAGATGGAAAAGCAGTCCCTTTATTGCCTTAGCACAGAGACTCTGAACAATAAATCATTCCACCTTAATTCTATTATTGAGAAGTTAACTTATGCCTCTGCTAAAATTTTTTATGTAGAAATAATGTTTTATAGATTTCTTCTCATACAAGCACTCTCTGGATACCCACAGATACACTGACCAACAGGAAAAGGTGCTATTTGTAAATATTAAGCAAGGGTTGACTTCCCCCAAATCATTTTTCTTTTTCATATTTTCCTTTCTGTAAAGTATTGAAGACTGAATTTAACTAGCAAAATTTGGTTGCTGGCAATCAATTCAGGTTTGAGTTTTCCACAAGCTATCTTTCTTTTTTGTCTTGAAGATGGACATTAATGAATATAGTATACTTATTTGAGAACCTCAACTATTATACATACATGGAGATACCTGTTACAGCTTTTATCTTTATAAGCAGGCATTCTCATGAAAACATACATATTGGTAGTTCAGTAAATAGATCAAGTATAGTTTTTATTATATACATTAATTCTTTTGAAATATACAGTGATCATCCCTCAGCTATAGCCATGATTAACTTTTACCTTAAAGTCACTTTGAATAATGTTAGAAGTTTTTAATATTTTTGAATGTTTTTCAAGCACCAAACTACATCTCTAGCTCTATTATTATTATTATTATTATTATTATTTTATTATTTTAAAGACAGGGTCTTGCTGAATTGCCCAGGCTGGACATAAAATTGTAACCATCCTGCCTTAGCCTCTCAAGAGTGCCGGGATTACAAACATGTACCACAATGCCTGGCCAAGTATATATTAGTCTTAAACTTTTTTCCAGGTTCTTTTAGAGTACTAGCCTCAGATTATTTCCTAAAGCAGGTTTTTAATGGCAGTACATGTAATATAATACTTATAATACATTAAATTATACCACCAAATAATCAGATTTTAATCTCTAACAGCTTTATTCTCAAAGCAGTATCTGGTATATTTGGGAACTCAGTTATGTGTACCCTTCACAGCTGTCAAACCCAGAGAGATACGTTCTGGTCTTATTTTGTCTTTCTCCCCCTCTTAACCTACCTACCCCAAAAGGACAAAGAAGGATGATCATTTCATAAGATCTTGTTTTTAAATTACCAGTATAGAGTTTTACCAGTGCTCCTCAAACTTATATGCATATGAATCCAGCTAAATGCAGATCCTGCCTAGCAGGTCTGGGGCCTCAGAGCATGAATATTTAGGATGACCCGCAGTGCTGACACTGGTTTCATGGACAACCTGTGAGAGCAAAGCCTCAGAGGACAGGAATCAGCATCCTACCGCTGCACGGAAGTTTCTCACTTTGAGCAAACTACTCAGCGTTGACAGCGTTCCAAGTCTTTTAAAAAAATGTTCAATGTATTTCTTTAATTATGCAAAATGTAACCTTCATGTAAAAAGAACTTGGAATTGTACTTTTATTTCAAAACAGAAAAATGCACTTTAAAAGTTCACATTAGAATCTTACAAATATTAAAATGATGAAAAATTTACTATGTATAAATACATAAATGGTATAAAACCAATATTCAAAATGTAATATTTATAAAAACACTTAATTTTCAGGACAAAAATGGTAGACTAGTTTGAATTTGAGGTAAATGAAGAGAGACTTAAGCCATTTAAGAAAGAAGATAGAGAATGCCCTATCTTTGTGTGTGTGTGTGTGTGTGCACATGTGCATGCACACTAAGGATCAAACCCAGAACCGTGTGGACACCAGACAAGCACTCTGCCAAGCTACATGGCCAGCCCAACCATGTACATTTTTGGGAAAGGTCAAAGAATGCTGAAGAGCTTGCTGTATTACTGCACAGATGACTTTACACACTATGCAGCCAACATAACAGTAATAAATAAGATACAATGTAGAGAGCACAGATAGCAGGGGCCTGGGCCCAATGTGCTGATGAAAAAGTAGCATAAAAAAGAGTAAGAAAATGCAGCAATCAGAAATTCTCGTGACTAATTTGTTTTACTGCCAACAATTCAAACCTATCACGAACATTATCCATTTAATTCTTCAAACTTTCCTTTGAGACAGAAAACTAGGCCCAACCACTGATAAGAAACAAGACAAGGAATGAACTTGCCAAGGCTGAAGTTATATTTGACAGAAAAGAACCAGGGAGTTCAACTCCTGCTCTTGACTGCTATGCCAGCTCTGGCAAACTAGAGACTTGCACACTCCTCTTGTCCATTTATGTCATCTTAAGAGCGCGAAAGTGTCTACAACCACGGACTCCATACAAGTGACACAATCACAATTTAAAATCAATATGTCACAGAAATACCAGTTATATAACACTCAGTAAAAATAAATTTTCTTTCTTTTTTTTTTTTTTTGGTACTGGGAATCAAACTCGGGACCTCGCACTTGCAAGGCAGGTGGCGGAACCACTGAGCTAAATCCCAGGCCCTAAATAAATTTTCTTAAAAATATTAAGTTTTTAATTCTAATGCTCCAAATGTTTATTTTATCCTACGGTACATTTGTGAAGAACTGGTGCTGTTACCTTTGTCCTTGAGGAAGGAAAATATTAGGAGAATGAGTTGTTTTTAGGCTAAATGTGTCTCCACTTGATGAATGTCTCGAAGGAGCTTTCCCACCCAAGAGTGACGTTTCTGCTTCTTTTATTTCCATTGCCCTTTTGTACAGTTCAGCAGCTTTTTCAAAATCCCCTTCTTCATAGCTTTTAGAAGAAAAAAAGAGAATTTTAAGCTCTTAATTCTAAATGACCTTATGGGATACAGAAAAACAAGTTGTGAATAGTTGCTCATTTTCCCCCTTTTTACCCAGTGTATTCACTTAAGCAGATCCATAGACAAGAGACCCAAAAGCTCTCCTTTCTGTCTGCACTGTGGAACATTCTATGTCTCATATGTACATCATTAAGAACATTTTGTAATGGATGCAGTGAAACTGCTAACAAAAGTTATTATCTGCAACCTGAGATAAACACAAATGAGCAAGCAAAACTCAATATATATTTAATAGTAGATTAGCTCTGAAGATAGCAAAATCCCCACATTACTTCCAGAGCCAGTTACCTGCAAGTGTAAGCTGCCCTGCACTATTTGCCATGATATAGACCTCTGCAAAATACGCTGTGCAGCCTCCATTGTGCTTTTGGACATGACTTCAATAGCTCTTGAAGCAGACCTGCAAAAAGCCACCTTTCTCCCTTCCAAGAAGGGATATCCAGCAATAAATATTTTGTACTTTTCTGTGATGAATCAGTGCTAGTCTAAGAGTTGGGATGTATGAAGAAAGTGAGATAATTCTTACCTAAGCACAGCTAAATTTTTTAATGTTTCTCCAACTCGAGGATGCATCGGACCCAGGCTATCTTCATAAATCTTTAATGCTCTTTCATACAATGGCAAGGCTTCAATGTGCTTTTTCTTATGAAAAAAAAAGTTAACAAGGTTCCTTTAAACTCACTGTGTTTCTGAAATTACTCAGTGTATTCTACTTAAGATGACCTATTTTGGTAAACACTTTAAAAATGTTACTATCCACTCCTAAAGGATGAGAATAGCATAATTTATAAATAATCATAATAGGAGAAGCAATAAAAGAGAAAGTCAAAATCTAAGTTTTAGATCTAGCTAATATTCATTGGCCTCAAGCCAACACTTAGCACAACCCGTTTCTTTTTTAAAATTAAAATTAAATTTTTTTTCATTGGTACCAGGAATCGAACTCAGGACCTCTTGCTTCCAAGGCAGGCTAACTCATTTCTTTATTGCCTGATGGGTACCACAGGTAGATACTACACAACAGATATTATACAGATAAAGGACACTCCAGAATTTAAAAAACTAAGCCTATGTTCTGAACTAAACAGAAGCACCAACTGAAGTTATAAATCTAACTTCAATAATTTCTCAAGTATTAGAAAAGGAAGCATTAAATAATAACCTTAAAATTTCTTTATTTTTACTATGCTATTAATTCATGTTTTATACCTTCAAACCATTCATTTATGAAGAGTTAAAATATGGAAACTTACCATTTGGCTATAAAGAACTGCTAAGTTCACCAAGGCAGTAGCTACACTAGGGTGCTTTGGGCCAAAGGATTTCTGCCGAATTTCAACAGCCAATTCATACAAAGGTACAGCTTTGTCAAGTTTCCCCTAAAAAACAAAAGTGCAATCTAACAGAAATTAGCACTATCAATCAGAGCTTCTCCCATAAATAAAATTTTGTATTAAGAAGTAGTTTTGAGAGAAAAAGTCTAGAGACATTTTCTCCCAGATCAATGGTTGAACCAACTGAAAATCTAATGGAATCTGTAAGGAAAGCTATACTGAGCATAAAAACATTCCTCTGATAATGTGGAAGGCCCTTTAGGCTTCCTCATCATTAACTGTTTTTAGAAAAGGGTAAATATGTTAAAGTAGATGTGCTATAGAACTCAATTTACAGATGACATTGGATAAAAATTTACTTCCCATTAGGAGTTTTAAAATTATTTTCTTTTGGCAAGCTGTGCAGAGAGAGCAACAAGGTACCCTTCTTACTAAAACATCAGCTTCACTGCCAGGACTGTCAGCAACGGCACCACACAAGCAAGGGCTTAGTCTATGCAGCTCTGTAACTGCAGTTGCTGAAAGCAGATTTCTTCGGCTTTTTCTCTTTAAGAACAGATATAAACATTCCAAGCTTTATTCCTCTGGCAAAGAATGGCATTTAATTGTAGGTAAAGTCAACAAAGAGAGAAATAAAATTGTAAAGTCAACCACCAAGGTACTGTCTGTAAGCCTGACAACTGGATGATTTGTTATGTTTATGGCAGCAAAGGTAATACTGTGGAGGGAAAAAAAAGGTAGTAATGCGGAACTTAGAACTTCAGAAATGTAACATAAGTTTAAGTTAGAATGCTGAAGAATAGATGTGTGTATTCAAAATGTATTTTCACAAAACCAAATCAGTATCCTTAATTTCGTTAAGTCTGATATAATATTATTTGTTTTTATTTTTTATTAGTACGTTTGTAGTAATGATGATTACACTCCTTGTGGGGAGTTGGTACATGTACATAACACATCTTAATTCTTTTTTCATTCCCTTTGCCTTCTCCTTTCTTCTACCTCCATCTCTTGATTCCCTTCCCTTTTTTGAAAGACCTGCCTATTCCATTACCTTATATTTTGCTCTTTCTTTATATTTTAGGTTTTTTTTATAAGAGAAACCATGTGAATGACTCAAGTGTATCATTTTTATGGCAAAGTAGTACACCACTGTATGCAAATACCACATTTTCTTTATTCATTCATTTGATGATGGACATAAAGGCTGCTTCCAAGATTCAGCTATTATGAATTGTGGTACCATAAACATGGTTATGCATGCTTCATTGTAATATGATGTCTTTAACTCTTTTGGGAAGATACCTAGAAGGGGAATAGCTGCGTTAAATGGAATTTCTAGCATTAGTTTTTTGTGGAATCTCTATACTGATTTCCACAGTGGCTGTAATAGTTTACGTTTCCTCCAAGAATGTAGAAGGGTTCCACAATATTTGTAAATGCTCTAAGGTACTTGTTTAAAAACTCAATTATCATGATTTTTAAAAAGCTCATATCAAACAACCTATCCGTCAGAAAGCTAATCTGCTGACCGTAACTCAGGGTTAACTGACATAATATAAGCATGCAAGATTGAGAAGGATTACTTACCATTTTCTTATACAAGATTGCAAGATGCTTCACTGTATATGCTAAAGAAGGGTGATCCGGAGCTAAGGCTCGTCTCCGAATGTCCAAAGCTCTCTCATAGAGTTCCTCCGCTTTGTCATACTGCTTCTTTTCATGGTATAGAGCTGCCAGATTATTCAGAGACTGGGCACAGTCAGGATGATCAGGTCCTAGAACTCGTTCCCTCATCTCTAGGGAACGCTTTAAAAACTGGTCAGCTGTTCTGTGAACAAAGCCCCAAAATGGCTTAAACAATTTATTCTCTAGCAGCAGTCAGAGTCCTGAGCCCCAAAGTAGAGACCTGAACGTTTTTATTCTTAGATTCATCCAGAGCTGCCTGCTTTCACACTCCTCCTTTCCTGCCCCTGGCTTCCCACAGTCTGGATGACTGCTCTGCTTTCACCCCACTTCCCCTAACAGCAAGCCACAGATATCTTACAAAACAACCTTTTTACACTTGTTAGATTCCTTTACAATGATTACACCCAAGTTAAAAAAAAGATTAGAGTTTGTACTGAATAAGTTCGGGTTTTTTTGGGTACCGAGGATGGAACTCAGGTCCTTGCACTTGCATAGCAGGTGGCAAAACCACTGAGCTAAATCCCCAGTCCCTGAATAACTGTTAATGAAAGAATCTTCTGTGAAACAGGCTAAATATTTGTCGCATTTTTTTTGACATCCTAAGTTTCAAATTTGTTAGATGTTTCTAGCTTCTAAAGAGGTCCAAAAACACTTCTTTTTCAGAAAGTATAAATGTAAAGCCAGTTTGAGTCCTTTATCCAAATAAAATTAAAAAATAAAACTTAGCAGCTGTCTATATTCTTTTATTTGTTCTGCATTAGTTTGAGTTTCTTCTTCTGTGAGGTCTCTATATGAACTTAACTTTTCACAAATATATAAAACATACTAGGGAAGCTGTAGAATAACTTTTTAGTCCAGAAGCAACATGAAAAGGAATCAGTAGAGAAAATATAACTTTAAAATGGGCATGTTCATAACCTGACATCACACATGAAATGAGGCATAATATTATCTAGCGTTGGACCTGATAGACACATGAAACAGTTTTACATCTAAGAAGACACAAAATGGAAACTTGTTTCATTATGAACACCATGGTACTCACTCTAGGTTATTCTGAAGATAGTAGAGAACACCGAGTTCATTGAGGGTCCGGGCATTATCAGGTGTGTCCTTACCCAACGTAAGCTCTTCTAACTGCAGGGCCCGTCTGCGTAAAAGGGCAAATCCATGCTGGAGCAAGCATAAATGTTAACACAGTCACTGAGTGAGTGCCAGCCTTGATTCTGAAACCATTTGCAGGGGTTCTAAAGAATCTTCCCCCCACCCTTTTTTTTTTTAATCTAGAGGACAATTATTTTAAGTAGTACACTGAGTTCATGGCATCACATTCTCAAATTCATTAAAAACTAGTCTGTGAAAATGATTACATGAGATTTTAGCAAAGTGTATGAGGTGTGATCAAGAAATATGGTGAATGTTTAAGTTTTTAAAACTTATTACAATAAGAGATACATGGCTATTATACCCCCTCAAAATACTTTTGCTTCAAACACACTTATCCCATTGTTCTTGCTACTTTCTGAAGCAGTTCTGCAAGTCCTCTTTTACAGTATCTTTAGTTGCACTCTCATGGCTGCCTTCATATCCTGAATTGATTCAAAATGTTACCTTTTATGGTCATTTTGACTATGGGTAAGATCCAGAAGTTTCCTGGTGCCAGACTAAGCAAATAAGGTAGATAAGGACACATTATAATGTTTTTATGAGCCTGCCTTCCCATTAGATGGCACTCAGCAGCATTCACTTTGTTTTTGACCACACTGTGTAAAGGCACTCACAAAAGAGGACTTCAGACTCCTTCAGAAAGTGGCAAGGACAATGGGATAAGTTATGTTTGAAATGAGGGAGAGTATTTTGAGGGGAACTAATGACAACTTGTCTTTTCTTGAAATAAATTTTACTTAAACACACACTGTATTTTTTTGTTTTTTATACGTACTATATTTTTTGATCAGTCTGGTATCTCAAAATGCTTAAAAAAAATTAGGAAACAATTAACTTGCAGATAATTACTAACACCATGGATAAACACTTATAAATAATAGGCTCTTAAAATGTACAGAGCATCTTAAGACAAACAAATGTGCTATATTTAAATATGATCCACAACTTAGTGTGTTTGCATGTGTATGCGCTCCAAAGGAAGAATGCCTTCACATCTTAATCTAAAATGTTAAATCTTTTATTCTTTTTTGACTCTTTATAAAAAAGAATCAAAGTAGCTTTAGATTTCAATTTTCAAAGTCTAACTTTCATTTGTTTTTTTTTTGGTACCAGGGATCGAACTTGGGACCTTGAACTTTCAAGACAAGCGGTGGCACCACTGAGCTAAATCCCCAGCCCCTCAAAGTCTAACTTTCAAATGAAAGTCCTACTCCTTCACAGTCCTACTTTTTTTTAAATTTTATTTTTTTGGTACATTTTAGGTATACAATATAATGACATTCATCATTGGAAATTAGCACCTTTACATAAACTCTCTTGGTTCTTATTTTTCCCCCTTCCCCTGCCCTCCCTTCAACCCCTCCATCCCTCCCTATTTACAAAAACTGTTTCCATTTTTTCATTTTCTCATATTAATTCCATTCCCTTCTTTCCTTTCCCCTACCCCTCCCACTTCCCCTTTGCCCCTTTTCTTCCGATTTCACATTATCTATTATACCTTTTAGTCCTTAGTTACACTTTCAGTTTCTCACACTAGATAAACTATTTGGTATTTACAATGTGTGTTCTATTTATTTCACTTAAGAGTATCGCCTCAATGTGCATCCATTTAGCTATAAATGTCTCTCATTTCTCATTTTTATGGCTGAGTAGTGTCATTTTAGAAAAAAAACACATTTTCTTTATCCAGTCTCCAGTTGATGGGCATTTGGGCTGCTTCCAAGTTTTAGCTACAGATTGTGCTGCTATGAACATGGGTGCACATATATCACTGTGGTATGATTCTTTTAATTCTTTGGGTAAGATACCCAGCAAGGGAATAGCTGGGTCAAATGGGACTTCCAGTCCTAGTTCTTCGAGGTATCTCCATACAGATTTCCACAGTGCTTGCACCAGTCTACACTCCTACCAGCAGTGGAGCAGGGTTCCTCTTTCCCCACAGCCCTGCCAGCATTTGTTATTGGTTGATTTCATGATATCAGCCATTCTTTCTGGAGTGCTGTGGAATCTCAGCGTTGCTTTCATTTGCATCTCTCGAATGACCAGTGATTTTTTTTTTAAAAGGATACTAAGTTGTATTTTTAGTAATATTAATATTTAAATACATTTTAAATAAAAAAATTAATCAGTGCTTTTCTAGAAGTCACTTTAAAATCTAAAGCTCTTAAACATGAAGTTCATGCACTTATGATATTCAAAGATGTTCTTTTCCCCTGATTCAAAATATAAAACAAAAGAAAGCTCTCATTACCAAATTGCCCTTTTTCCTTGTAGCTTTCTGACGAATTTTAAAGGATTTTTTCCTAAAATGTTCAGCTTGTTCATATCTTAAAAAAAAAAAAGCATGTTAAGTCAAACAAAAGAAGCACAAAGTATCCCTCAATGAAATAAAAGTACTCTTTACATAATGTAATGTCTGTCTTGGCTATTAAATACAACAATATTCTTGTGGTAGTCTATGTAGTTCAAAACTTTCGACAAAATCTTCATAAGACAGTCTAACAAAACAAAATAAATCTAGTCTTAAAGTAGTTTTTAATCGACATTTAATTAGTTTTAAGTGATTAACTCATTCTTAATGTCTAAGGGGAAACTTAATTAAATGAAAATCTAAAATTTTGGTTTACACACATTTTCTACACAGGCTAATTTTTGGTTAAATACATATGTGAAATTTGCACATAAGTTGTATGAAACAACATTTGTAGAAGTTAAAAGAAAAATTTTCATTGTGTTTCATTTGTGATGGAGAAAGAAAAACACTTTCTGTAGAGAAAATGATGCTATTCACTGAGTGCCTGACAGATGTGAAAACTTTTTTTAAAAGCCTTTGTTTTCACAATGCTTGGGATTGAACCTAGGGCCGTCTGCCTAACAGGCAAGTACTACTATTGGACTATATTCTCATCCTGAAGTGTCTTTATTATACCAGGGATTGGCAAACTTTGTGCAAAGGACTCAATAGTTAATATTTTAGTTGGAAGGTGATCCGTCACAACTAAGAACTCTGCCACTGAAGCACAAAAGCAACTGTTTTTATTGTTTTGTTTTTTTGGTACCGGGGATTGAACTTGGGACCTTGTGCTTGCAAAGCAGGTGGTGGAACCACTGAGCTAAATCCCTGGCCCAAAAGCAACTGTTACATTAATATATAAATGAAAAAATATGGCCATGTTCCAATAAAATCTTATTTACAAAAATGGACTTGGTCTATGGGCAGTATTTTGCTGGCCCTGTATTAGTAGTATACTCAAAAGCCAACCAGGAAAAGAGCAGATTCAGACCCAAGACTGTATGACTTGAAGTCCATGCTCCATCCTCCATGCATCTTCAATTAGAAATGAATCTTGTAGTTCTAATTTTCTCTGCCTACCCCAGAACACACAGATTAAGAAATTACCTGAACATGATGCAGAGGGTATAAGTACACAATCCCAAGCACATCAGCACATAAGCACATTAAAAAAACTTTAACTCCCCTTCATATAATCAGAACGTTACTGATTTCCATCTTACTTATTTTGTTTCTGGTACAAAGTTGCAAGTGCCTCAAGTTCACGAGCAGTATGCAGATGGTCTGCACCATAAGCATTTTCTGAGATTTCCAAGGCCTGTTTATATAGTTGTTCTGCATTGCCAAACTTCTTCCATTGCACATACACACTTGCCAGTTGGTGAAGGGACTGGGCTACTCTTGGGTGATCTGGATCTAAAGCTGTTTCTCGAATTTCTAGAGACCTCTGCAAAGGCACCACAGCCTGAGGACAAAGGTGAGAGGTTGATGAAAGTGAGCAGAATGCTGTAAGAGCTGTTACCTATTAGGTATTAAAGGTCTGAGCACCACCAATGGAAGCTGTGTTACCACCTTAGAAGAAGAACAGAGAAAGCATGAAAACCCACCCTGTCTCTAACTTCCTGTTAGGTTACCTGACTGAGAAGGCCTAGGTCCTTGAGAAATCGCCCCAGCGTTTCATATAGATCAGCTAAGCAAATCATGTTCTCCTCGCCTTCACAGTTTTTCTCATACTGCTTCAATGAATCAAAGTATTCTGCTGCCATCGCACTTTTGTCTTTGCCAACAAACTGCCAATAACTCAGCAACTCAGCAAAGTGTCCTCTGTTTCAACAAATAATGGCAATTTAATGAAAAACAAACTTTAGAATCCACTATAGAATGAAAATGCCAGAATTCATACCAAGTTATTGACAATTTACTAGTAGTCAAGCAAGCACACTGGAGTGGGGCCAGATGGGCACTGTGCTCTGAGTCCCACCACTCCTGGCCGTGTGATCTCAAGCAGGTCATCTGCCCTCTCCATCTCACCGCCTCCTCTGCAGAAAGGACTATACTACACGACCTGCCCTGGTGTTGCTGTGAGGAGATTCTGGCGCATAGTGAGTACTCCACAGAGCGGGCTATTATCATCAATATCACCATGACTACCCAGCACTGGAAATTCATCTGAATTCCTTTCAGACATTTCGTGACGTGCAGTCAACTGCTAAGTTCACTCCAAAAATGACAGAATAAACCAACAAAACACAGGCAAACAGCCATATAGAATATCCATTTTGTATTTTTGTCAAGGAACTGAGTGATAAAAGTAAGTGTACTCATTTGCAGATGATATTCAGTAGGACAGGAGAGCTGGTAATCTAATGAACAAATCTGATCTCAAGGGAATCTTGAAAAATTGGAATGGAATCAGAAATAATTTAAGAGGTACAAGGAAATTTGAAAGTGTTCATTCAGGAACAAAACAAATTATGTAGTTATTTTATTAGAAATGTCTACTTTTTTTTTTTTATTCTTTTGGGTTTTGAGACAGGATCATGCTTTGTAGTTTAGGCTAGCCTTGAACTCATGATGTAGCCCAGGTTGGTCTCAAAGTTGAAGCAATCCTCCTTCTTCAGCCTCTCAAGTGCTGGGATTACAGGCATGAACCATGACACCCAACCGAAGAAATGTCTACATTTTTAAATGAGGAAGCAAAACCCTCTCCTGAGGCTTAGTAGGTCAGAAGCTGGCTCATAGAAAGGTAGTTATGCAACTGACAACCTAAAACATATCAAGAGACAAGCAGAATACATTTATGAATCAGGGTGATTCTTTTTTTTTTTTGGTACCAGGGATCGAACTTGGGTCCTTGCGCTTGCGAGGCAGGCAGTGGAACCACTGAGCTAAATTCCCAGCCCATGGTTGATTCTTTAAATTCAGCACAGGTCAGATTCCATTAGGAGCCCAGTTTGGCTGAAAGGTTACACTTCTGAGACATTGAAGGCCCTGAAAAGCAGAATTCGTGAAACACCTCTCTGGGAGGTTTAGATTTTGACGTGCTGAAGTGCAAGAATAAGAAAAAAGCTTTCCCTTTATCTCTCCTGCTTCGGTTTTACAAAGCAGCAATACTCTTGTTATTTTCCTCCTGGGCAAAGATCTTAGCCATAAGCCATAAATTGTCTCAGAGTTTCTCCTGTATTTCAGGTATCACTGAAACCAGACTAATTTTTAAATTAAAAATGTCATTTTTCCTTTGTTAAATGGAATACACATTCAGGTTTGTCCTTCTGGAAAGAGATTTCTGGAATATATTTCTGACCTTTTGTAAAGGTTTTGAGACACGAAGAGATTGAGAAGGCAATTGTGCAGCTTCTGCTTAGCTCCCTGCTGCTGGAAAAGCCAGGGTAGCTCATCCGCACTTCTCCAGGTCACTCTGTCCTGACTGTAGGGAGGAGACAACACTGAGTGACACCTTCCAATAACAAGCAAGCCTCAAAGACTTCAGACAAACACTAAAGGGGTATTATTTCACATACATCTCTAAGTATAATCTAAAACTCAGGTCAAAATCAGAAATTTGACCAATCTATTAAAATAAATAAATAATCATAACCAAATTCTTCCCTGCACCTTAATTTATGGGCAAGAAGATAAAACATTATTGAAAGGCAGTAAGAGAAATCAAAATCTCAGGACTTCAAGACTCCATACTCTGAAGGTATTCCCCTAAAATTACATTATTTAGAAAACCCTCAAGTACCCAAATATACACACTAACATACATGTACGCATATTTTAAACTATTTAAGTGGAATAAAATAGATAATAAAATGATCCTGCATTGATTTCACTCAAGTTTAAACCATTTGCATGACATTAAAAGACTTCCTTATGAAATCATCTTTTGTCCTTTTGACATTAACAGAATAGGGAAAAGATTTACTCTTTTTTGTAATAATTAAGTTTTTGTATTTTAAGCAATAAGCTAAGAACAAGAAATCAGTACACAAAGGAAGAGTGTTACACAAGAAAACTCAAACATTAATAATACCTCAGCTGCAAGTTGAAATAGCTGATTAGCTTTTGCCTATATGAAGAAATAATAGTGCGATCATCCATGTACTCAAGTCTCACTGTTTCCCAGGCCTAGGGTGAAAAAATTATAAATTATAAGACTGAAATAATTATAAATTCCTTTTTACAAACTCAGTGTTAGATATTATGACTTTTTTCTTTTTCTTTTTATAGTTGTATATCACAAAATTGTCATCAGACTTTTTTTTTTTTTTTTTGGTACCAGGGATTGAACTTGGGACCTTCTACTTGCGAGGTAAGTAAGCTAAATGCCTGGCCCTATCAGACTATTCTTAAAAAATTAAGGATATATTTATGTGATAAGCTTATTTAGAAAATAATTCCTGTACTAATTTTTAAGAATGGAAAACACAATTTAATTCTGATCCTTAGTTAATATATTTTTAAAATCCCAGAAAATTGGAATGAAAAGTTACTAAAAACAGTAAATTATATATAAGTGATATACAATAAAGAAAGGCTGTGAAGTTACAAACATTTCACATCTCCAAATGTAACACAGCACACGTGGAAGAAGACCTACTCTGCATCTCAACTGTAGCACTGCATATAAGAATTATATTAATCAACAGCTCCTAAAGATTTACTACCATGTGCTAGGCATCAAGCCTGATATCTCACAAAGACCATCTTAATTTTTTTTACAACCTCGTGGTAAGGTAGCAAAGCCTCCCCATATCAGAGCTTGCCCAAGGTCAGACTGCTAAGAAGCTGTGAAGAGCAGAGGTGGAAAAGGAGGATGACACAGTCTCAGCTCTTAATACACATACATAATCATATCAGCAATAAACTGAAGCATAAAATTGAAAACCTTTTCTTCTTTCCAATAAAGAAGCTGTGTGTGTGTGTGTGTGTGTGTGTGTGTGTGTGTGTGTGTGTTGGTCTTTTGTGACTGGCTTTTATTTTTCGTTTTAAAATTTTTATTGTGATAAGAACATGAGATCTATCTTCCCTTTCAATAAACTTTTAAATGCATAATACAGTATTGTGAACTATAAGAACAAGGTTGTATTGCAAATCTCTAAAACTTGGTACACCCTGCAGGTACTATCTTTCAAAGTAACAGTCACCTCATAAAGATACCACAACATAACATAATCTTAGAAAAATTTTATAACTTAACCTAGTCATTGAAAAAAAAAACTATAATGCAAAATTTTAACTTTGTTTTGTAACTGAAACATTTAAGTAATATAGTATAATATACAATGAGATAATGTACTGTATTGACATTTAAAAGTACAAAATAAAATGTAAAAGATGCTTAAAATTTACCTGCAGATGCTGAAACCTGAGCAAGCCACAACCATAGGTCAACAAACACATTTTGTGTAAACTGTGAATAAGGGAGGTCAAGATGGCCCAGGGTGTTTCAGGATAGAGTTCCATCAGTTCTGATTCGCTCACACCATTGTGACTAACATTGACAAGGCAGAGAACCTAGTTAGAAAAACAAATGAACAGTGATCACAAAACACTTCTGTAAGTAACTAACAGTAATTAAAATTTCCGCAATTCTTTTCAGCTTATTAACTTTTTATCAACTTATAATTTAAATGATTTATTAAATCGAGAAAGATTTCTTACAATAAAACCCTCTTGTCCAAAAGGCATTAAACAAGAGTAGGACAGAGTGTACCTAAAATATAGCACCTCACCTCCCAAGGGCTATTCTCTCAGGCAAGGGCACATGAGGAAAACATCAGCCACAGACATGGACAGAATACAATGAAGACTTTAAAAATGGGTTAAAGGACTTGGGCCAGCAAATTACATAAGAAGAAACAGAGCTAATCAATGACCATGAACAGATGAGAAGTCCCGATGATAATTATAAAAAAGCAAACATCAGCAAGCACACTATAGCTTCCAGATTCCTGTATATGCTTGAAACATAGTAAAACACAAATTTGAAAGGAATTATTTACTTCAGTTCACGTAATTTGGAACAAGGCCAACTAATCTTCCTTTTTTAAGTTTATTACACTTTACCTGTCTCATTAGCTCTTTCTCCACATCACTTGCCATGGACTCCTGGATGGAGTGTAGAACAAGTCTATATAATGAAACAGTATCTTGACACTGCAGGCACTGATGAAGGGTTTTGTCTAAATTGCCTCTTTTCCCAGCACTGTTGGAATTGAGAACAGATTTAATTTCTTATAGGCTGCCAACATCTATGAAAAATTTGGGGTGGATAAAGACAATGTGATCCCTATATTTTGCACTGCATCTGGTAACACAATTGAATAAAACATAATACAGGAAAATGGTAGTTTTGTGAGACTGCTAGAGTCACAGTTTACTTTCGAATACAGCATTAAATTTAATTCAATAAACATGCTGAGACTTACTATATGTCAAGAAATTAACTATGCACTGTGGAACATAAAAGTGGTTAAGCAGATGACATGATACTCTATATAGAAGACCCCAAGAACTCCACCAAAAGTCTTCTAGACTTAATAACCAAATTCAGTCAAGTAGCTGGTTACAAGGT